AGGCAGCAGGATCGCTTGAGCCCAGAAGTTCTGGGGTGTAGTGTGCTCTGCCAGTTGGTCAGGTGTCTGCACTAAGTTTGGCATCAATTTGGTGATCTCACTGGAACGGGGGACCACCAGGTTGCCCACTGCAAAAGGAGCAAGAACGAATGCTGATCAGTAGTGGTATTACACCTGTGAATAGTCACTGCATTCCAGCTTGAACAACATAGGGGGAACTTGTCTCTTTTAAAAAGTGAAAAAAAAAAAGCCGGGCGCAGTGGCTCTTGCCTGTAATCCCAGCACTTTGTGAGGCCGAGGTGGGCTGATCAGGAGTTCAAGACCAGCCTGGCTAACATGGTGAAACCCCGTCTCTACTAAAAATACAAGAATTAGCCAGGCATGGTGGCGGGCACCTGTAATCCCAGCTACTCGGGAGGCTGAGGCTGAAGAATCACTTGAACCCGGGAAGCAGAGGTTGCAGTGAGCCGAGATCATGCCATTGCACTCCAGCCTAAGTGACAGAGCAAGACTGTCTCGAAAAAAAGAAAAAGAAAAAAGTAAAAAATAAAATTTAGGAATTAAAAACTACTAGTAACATTTTGATGTGCATCCTTTCAGATATTTTTTAGTGTATCAGCTTTTAGTCTTGTTTTAATTAAAAGGCAGCTGCCTTGTTTATTTTAATCCTACTTTATTGAAATCTAATTTATTTGTCTTTTACATTAAAAATTACATTATGAACTTACCGTCACTTTAAATAGAATAATAACTGTTAGGGAAATGCCTTTTATTATAATTACATTTTTTGCTGTCCAAAAAAGTTATTAATTTTTTTATTTTTTTGAGATGGAGTTTCACTCTTATTGCCCAGGCTGGAGTGCAATGGCATGATCTCAGCTCACTGCAACCTCCACCTCCCAGGTTCAAGTGATTCTCCTCCCTCAGCCTCCCGAGTAGCTGGGATTACAGGAGCCCACCACCACGCCCGGCTAATTTTGTATTTTTTTAGTAGAGAAGGGATTTCGCCATGTTGGTCAGGCTGGTCTTGAACTCCTGACCTCAGGTGATCCACTCACCTCAGCCTCCCAAAGTGCTGGGATTATAGGTGTAAGCCACTACGCCTGGTCATTTTCTAATTTTTAAAATTGTTTTCACCTGCTGTAGTATAAACGACAAAGTACAAGTGTTGAGAATGCAGTATTTCCAAACCTATTAAAAATGCGTATCAATAGGATGTACTTGAAAGTAGGTTACCTAGCTGAGCTCAGTGGCTCACACCTGTAATTCCCAACACTTAAGGAGGCAGAGGCAGGAATATAGCTTGAGCCCACGAGTTCGAGACCAGTCTGGGCAACATAGCAAGATCCTATTCTTCACAAAAAGGAAAAAAAATCACACAAATTGTAGAAGTAGATTATCTAAAGAAACTTTGGCTTTAGTTTATGTTTAACTTCCAAGGAATTAAATATTTAGCGCATGCATTATCTAACCTTTCTTTGTATTTGCAATCAGGGAAACAAAATGTACCCATTTTGTAGATTAAGGAATTAAGACATAAAATGGAATGACTTGCTCTAAACTGGGTAGTGTATCCTTTAGGATTAGATTTAGCTATGACAGAAAATCCAGAAAAATAGTTGCTTACAAGGTCAAATTTTATTTCCCATGCAAAAGTTCAGAGGGAAGCAGTTCAGGGCTGGTAGATCAACCTCATAAAATCATCAGATTGCTCTACTGTTGATCTGCCAGTCTCATCACTCTGTAAACTTGGGGTCTCAAGGTAGCTGCACTGGCACCAGGCAACACATTTGTATTTCAGCCAGTAGGAAGAAGCAGATTCCTTCCCTTTTAAATTTAAACAGCTTTATTGACGTGATTTACATGCTGTGCAATTCACCCATTTAAAGTATACAATTCAGGCTAGGCGAATGAATCACTGTAATCCCAGCACTTTGGGAGGCAGAGGTGGATCACCTGAGGATCAGGAGTTCAAGATCAGCCTGGCCAACATGGTGAAAGCCCATCTCTACTACAAATATATAAATTAGCCGGGCGTGGTGGCACATGCCTGTAATCCCAGCTACTCGGGAGGATGAAGCAGGAGAATCGCTTGAACCCAGGAGGTGAGGTTGCAGTGAGCCGAGATTGTGCCACTGCCCTCCAGCCAGGGCAACAAAACAAGACTCTGTCTCAAAAAAATAAATAAAAATCAAGTATACAATTCAATGGGTTTTAGTGTATTTATAGGGTTGTACAACCATCACAATTTATTTATTTATTTATTTATTTATTTATTTATTTATTTTTTTGAGGCGGAGTTTCGCTCTGTCGCCCAGGCTGGAGTGCAGTGGCCGGATCTCAGCTCACTGCAAGCTCCGCCTCCCGGGTTCACGCCATTCTCCTGCCTCAGCCTCCCGAGTAGCTGGGACTACAGGCGCCCGCCACCTCGCCCGGCTAGATTTTTGTATTTTTTAGTGGAGACGGGGTTTCACTGGGTTAGCCAGGATGGTCTTGATCTCCTGACCTCGTGATCCGCCCGTCTCGGCCTCCCAAAGTGCTGGGATTACAGGCTTGAGCCACCGCGCCCGGCCCATCACAATTTAATTTTAGAAAATATTCATCCATTCTAAAACCTCATACACATTAGCAGTCACTCCCTAGCCCAGTCCCAGGCAAATACAAATGTACATTCTGTCTCTCTATATTTCCCTATTCTAGACATTTGACATAAATGGAATCATATGACTTGTAATCTTTTGTGACTGGCTGCTTTTATTTAGCATAGTGTCATCAAGGTTCATCTGTGTTGTAGCATGCATTGGTCCTTCATTCCTTTTTCTTGCCCAATAGTAGTCCATTGTATGGCTATACCACATTATATTTATTCATTCATAACCTGATGGACATTGGCTTGTGTCCTCTTTGGCATATATATACACATATATATGTGTGTATATATATGTATGAATGCTGCTAATGAACATTCATGTTCAAGATTTTATGTGAACATGTTTTCATTTCTGAAGGGTGTATACACCTAAGACTGAAATTGTGGGTCATGTGGTAATTCCACGTTTTACTTTGAGAGATTGCCAAACTTTTCCAAAGGACCGTCCCTAGTTTCCATTCCCACTAGCAGCGTATAGGGGTTCTGATTTCTCCACATCCTCCCCAATACTTGTCTCATTTTAATTACGGCCACCCTGTGGGTATGAAATGGTATCTCACTGTAGTTTCGATTTGTATTTCCATGTGCTTACTGTTCATTTATGTATCTTTAGAGAAATATCCAGATTCTTTGCCCATTTGAGAATTGGATTGTCTTTTAATTGTTAAGTTGTGAAAGTTGATTCCCGTACAAATCCCTTTCCTCCCATTCTGTGGGTTGTCTTTATACCCACTTGTTGGAATCGTTTACAGCACAAAGGTTTTCGTTTTGAAAACTTTCGTAGTTCATCCAGCTTGTGCTTTTGGCGTCCTAAGAAACAATTGCCTGGCCCAGTATGATGAAGAGTCGCTCCTGGGTTTTTTGTGTTTGGTTGGTTTTGGTTTTTGTTTTTGAGACGGAGTCTCCCTCTGTCGCCCAGGCTGGAGGTGCAGTGGCACGATCTCAGCTCACTGCAATTTTCGTCTCCCAGGTTCAAGCAATTCTCTTGCCTCAGCCTCCCAAGTAGCTGGGATTACAGGCGTGAGCCACCGTACCTGGCCCTTTCTCCTGTTTTTTCATAGGAGTTTTATATTATAGGTCTATGATGCATTTTCAGTTAACGTGTGCCCTTGTTACTGGTGGACGGTATCTGAGTCACGTGGCACCAAAATATGTAAGCGGGAAGGAATCTATATGGGTCTGCAGCAACCTCAGTTCCTGCCTCCTCAGAAGAAAGAATTCCACTGAGGCGCATAAAGCAGAAGAAGAGACTGAGGCAAGTTTTAGAGCAGGAGTAAAAGTTTATTAAAAAGCTCTACAGCAGAAATGAAAGGAAGGAAAGTACACTTGGAAGAGGGGGCCAAGCGGGTGACCTGAAAGACAAGTACACAGTTTGACCTTTTGACCTGAGGTCTTATACACTGGCATACTTCTGGGGTCTTGCATCCCTTCTCCCCTGATTCTTCCCTTGGGGGGCCTGTCCACATGGGCAGTGGCCTGCGAGCACTTGGGAGGGGAGTGTGCACACTGCGTTTCCTGGAGTTGTACCCATGCTCACTGCAGGCGTTCTTCCCTTACCAGTCCAGTGTCCCTGGAGGGTCACATGTCGGTGCAACTCCGCAGTTTGTGTAAGCCCACTTGCGCAGCTCCTGAGATCTTACCGAGAAGCTGATCACCAGTTTCAGGTTTTCTCTCTCTCTTGGGAGACTGCCTTTCCCTGGCCCCGCTGGATCAATTATCATTTTAGAGGGAGCATAACAACCGCCTGACTGTTGCCTGATGGTTGCCTGAGGCTCCTGGCTGGAAACGTGGCCCTCTCCTGCCCTGTTCGAGTCTGACTAGCCACCTGCTGTCACCCCCCTTCCCTTTTAAGGACTTTTCTGGAATATTGCCTGTGCCACCTGCTTTTATTCGCTGGCCAGAACTTAGTTACTGGCCATCCCCGTGGTCTGTAAAGGAGACTGGACAATGTGTATTTCAGGCGTTGGGCGTCATGTGTAGCCGCCGGAATGCCTGTTCAGCCATGGCCCAGCCTGAACGAGCGGGCCTCTTGCTTCATTTTGCGGGGGAGCTGCTGCTTGCCCGCGGTCACCCCAGCGGTCTGGCGGAGCCCTTGGCGCGCAGGGCCGCTCACGCCCCTCGGGGATCCGCCCCAAGGAGAGCGGTCCTGAGGACCTGCCGGGCCTTTACCCCGCGGATTTGGGCTCCTCGCTGTTTCCCTTTGGAGAAGCCAAAGAAACGGTGCCCCTCGCGGTTTCTGCGTTTCCCCCGCGTTGCCAGCGTCCACTCGCGCCGCGCCCGAAGCCCGGAGCCGCCCCTCCCAAGGGCGATAACTCCGAGGGCAACGGCCGCGGGCGGAGCTGCAGTGGCAATGGCGGCGCCCCCTGCACCAGCCACCGAGGGGTCCCCGCAACCGGAGCCGCACGCCCCGGAGCCCGGCCCGGGGAGCGCCAGGCGAGGGCGAGAGGTGAGCGGGGCGGAGCGGGCAGGGAAGGGGCTGCGCCCCTGGGGAGCTCGAGGGCGTCGCCTCGTAGCCCCTTTTCCAGCTGGGTGCAGCCCGGCGGGGCTCGGCCCAAACCTGCCGGCTCAGGGGCTGCCCTCGCGGGGTTACACGGCTGGGAGCGGGGAGGCTGGGAGGTGCCGGCGCCGGATAGAAACTAGGACGGGAAGCCTAGCCCTAGCCAAGGAAACAGCTTGGGGATGCGTGGTCCCTGCTGTCCTGATTCCCGGCTTAGGGGTCTTGTCCGTGCCACCGCAGGTCCTCCCGGAGTCCCGAGCTCTGGGCAGGCAGGGCTTTCTGAAGCGCCTGGGGAGGCTGCGTCCTTCCCGACCTCAGGCAGCTGCTGTGGCCTCGGCCTCCCTCCCAGAACCTGGACTCGCCGGGCACCAGGCTCCCCTTGGAGGCTGCCTCAGAGAAGGTCCTGGCCATGGGCTCCGACAAGAAGGGAGGAGGGCAGGTGGGAGCGGCGGTGTCTTCATGGCCCCTTGTCCCTTGCCTGATGCGCTGGGCCGTGCTGGCCAGCGGGGCTGTGCTGGACGGGGCAAGGGGCCTGGGGCTTCCTGGGTCTCACTGAGTGCGCCTGCTCCCTGCTGGTGCCCAGGGCATTCTGTGGCCTCCCCTGACACCTCAGCCCCCAGCCTGGTTCAGGGCGTCCTACCAGGCACCTCGGAGCACAGGATTTCGTCCCACAAGAAAGTGAGGTGAGATGAAGGGGCTCTCCGGGGACTCTCACTTCCCAGGGAAACTTAGAAATTCAGGGTGAGATTAACAGCAAGAAGAAAACACTCGCATTGCCGTGGAATCCTCATACAACTCTCTGAGGGGTGGCAGCCCCGGTCGCTCCAGAGACCGATGCGCAGAGGCCGAGGTGCCTGCCCTGGGTCACGCAGCTACAGACAGCAGCGCTGCGCCTCTCACCCGGAGCCGCCCCTCCCAAGGGGCTTCTCCTTGTACAGCTCACTGTCCAGCTGTGCAGGACTTTCATGGCTTTCAGTACAACTGTCATCCTCAAGACGGCAAGACGGGACCATATTCCTGGCTTCACTTGGAAGTTATTTCTAAAGTTCGAAAAACTTGCTAGGCCCATTTTGGGGGATACAAGAGTCCCCATTGAGGGAGAGGGGGACTGTCACGTTGAATTCTGCCTGTTCTTAAAGTTTTCTGGAAGCTGAAATGATGTTCACACAAATGTCAGGAAAGAATCATCCTGCCCCCAGTGTGGTTTTCCCCTGTGGGTAGGAAGAGTGTGCAAAGTGTGATAATCCCTTATCTGGGGAGACCTTCCCTTCACAAGAGCCTGCTGGGGTGTCCTGCAAGATGTGGAAACGGGTGAAGCCGTGTCATCTCCACTCCCTCCGGCCCCCAGCAAAGGATGAGAAAAGATGCCCAGCTTCTTCCAAAGAAACAGCACTTTACACAGGGTCTTCATGGCCAATTTCTTGCTTCAACAGATATATACTGAGCACCTACTGTATACCAAGCTTTTTTCTAGGTACTGGAAACACCATGATAAATAAAAGAGTTCATGCTCTCAGAGAGCTTACACTCGTGTCGGGAGAGGCAGGAACTAAATGAGAACACAGCAGGCGCTAAGTACAACTGAGAGGTGAGTGGTTAGGGAAAGCCTCTTGAAGGAGGTGACATTTAAGCTGGTGACGTCAAACCAGAATGACAAGGAGTCACCTTCCAGGCAGAGGAATGGGAAGTGCAAAGGCCCTGAGGCAGCAACAGACTTGATGATTTTGAGGAATAGGAAGGAGCCGGCGTGGCTGAAGGAGAGCTATTTGAGGTGAGGTGGGTAGGCGGCCGACTGGGTGGACTGCTTAGCCATGATCGGGACTTGGAGTTTTGTTCAAACTGCAATGGCATTAACTGAATACCATGGATCTGGAAACAAACAAACAAAACACACACACACACACACACACCCCACAAAAAAAAACCTGCAATAGCAAAGCCATCAGAGGGCTTTAATCAGAGAGGAGATGGGATCTGATTATTTATTTGTGACTGAGTGTCTGTTGCCCAGGCTGGAGTGCAGTGGCGCCAATCTCAGCTCACTGCAATATCTGCCCCCCAAGTTCAAGCGATTCTCTTGCCTCAGCCTCCTGAGTAGCTGGGATTACAGGCAGCCACTATGCCTGGCTAAGTTTTGTGTTTTTAGTAGAGATGGGGTTTTGTCATGTTGGGCAGGCTGGTCTTGAACTCCTGGGCTCAAGCGATCCACCTACCTCCGCCTCCCAAAGTGCTGGGTTTATAGGGATGGGCCACCGTGCAATTTACGCTATTACAAGAGCACTGGCTGCTGGGTGGTGTGGATTGTAGGGAGCAAGGGCAGACACAGAGAAGCCACTTAGGAGGCACTCACTGACAGACAAGAATTGGAAAGAAGAATCAAAGATGACTCCTAAGTTTGTGGCCTGAGCCCATTGGGGACCAGCGGTGCCATTTGCTAGGAGCTGGATTAGACAATGGGATAGCCATCAGGAGCTGTATGTAGACCATGCTAAGCTGAGACGCCTGCCAGGCATCCCTGGAGGGCTGAGGGCAGGCAGGCTATGGGTAAATGAGCTACCGCCTCATTTACTCAAGAAACAACCTTGTGAAATTGGCAGGGATGTAGCATTTGACAGATGAGGAAAACAGGCTTGGAGAGATAATGTGATTTATTCAAGGTCACATAGAGGGGTAGGTGACAAAGGCAGGCTCAAGCCCAGGCCTCCTGACCTGTAGCTTACACAGCCGTGCTGACTCAGTAAATGACGGCGGCTTCAGCAGGAAGCCCAGGGTAAGATGTCCAGAAGAATGTGCCCCTGGAAGTGTTTAGAGGTCATGGTTTAAGATCTTTTTTCTCCTCTGTCTCACTTCCTCTTAGGATGACATGGGGGCAAAATGGGGCTGAGAGGTTGCTGGAAAAGCCCTGAAGACATCACAGGGACTCAGGATGCCTACTGAAGTCATAGGGTGTGGGGACCTGTTTTGTGTCTGTTGGGAGAAGGGCTTAGTTCCTGTGTCTCCTCCAGGACAGCAGAGCCAGTCGCCTCTCATTCTGTACGAAGGTGTGCTATGGCATTGGTGGGGTCCCCAACCAGATAGCCTCTAGCGCCACAGCCTTTTACCTGCAGCTCTTCCTGCTTGATATAGCACAGGTAAGTGTGGGCAGCAGCCCAGCCTCTGCTGGCATCTTCCTTGGGGTCTGGTCCTTCCACCCCCACCTCTGCTTCTGCTCCCACCATCCTTGTAGACATCGCTTCTGACTCAAGCTTAACAAAAAGCCAGAAGCTAATGAGGGCAAGGTCCTCAAAGATGTTTACTGCAGCCTGTTTGTAGTGGGAAAATGAGAAACAATGTGGATCCCCGACAACACAGAAGCAGTTGGCTAAGTAAGCTATGCCACAGCCACATAATAGACCAAGCCTGTCCAACCCACGGCAGGGCGGCTTTGGATGTGGTCCAACACAAATTTGTAAACTTTCTTAAAACATTATGAATTGTTTTGTGATTTTTTTTTTTTAGCTCATTAGCTATCATTAGTGTTAGTGTATTTTATGTGTTTATATGTGGCCCAAGACAATTCTTTTTTTTTTTTTTTCTTTTTTTTGAGACAGAGCCTCCCTCTGTCACCCAGGCTGGAGTGCAGTGGTGTGATCTCAGCTCACTGAAACCTCCGCCTCCCGGGTTCAAGCGATTCTCATGCCTCAGCCTCCCAAGTAGCTAGGATTACAGGCGCACACCACCATGATTGGCTACTTTTTTATTTTTTGAGACGGAGTCTCGCTCTGTCACCCAAGCTGGAGTGCAATGGCACAATCTCGGCTCACTGCAACCTCCGCCTCCTGGGTGTAGCAATTCTCCTGCCTCAGCCTCCAGAGTAGCTGGGATTACAGGTGCATGCCACCATGCCTGGCTAATTTTTTGTATTTTTGGTAGAGAGAGGGTTTCACCATGCTGGCCAGGTTGGTCTTCAACTCCTGACCTTGTGATCCACCTGCCTCAGCCTCCCAAAGTGCTGGGATTATAGGCGTAAACCACCATGCCCGGCCTACAGCTTATTTTTGTATTTTTAGTAAAGACGGGGTTTCGCCATGTTGGTCAGGCTGGTCTCAAACTCCTGGCCTCAGGTGATCCATCCACCACAGCTTCCTATAGTGCTGGGATTACAGGCATGAGCCATCGTGCCTCACCAAGACAATTCTTCTTCTAATGTGGCCCACAGAAGCCAACAGATTGGACTAACCTCACTATCAAACAGACTGTCATGCAGCCATTCAAAAGAATGATCTATACCAGTTGACTTACAGCGATTTCCATGACGCTCTGGTGAAAAAGAAAAGTTAGTTTTAGAGAAGAGTATATAAAATGATCCCATTTTAGCAAAACAAAGGCTCCATATGTGTGTGTGTGTGGATGGATATGTACGTATATATGTATTTGTCCATGTTTAAAATGTGAGCATGGAGAAAATTCTATAAGGATCTACACCAACTCATTAATGTTAGCTACAGGAGGGAATGATGGAGAATGGAGGGTAAGTAAAACCCAATTTTTAAAATGAGGTATCCAGCCCAGCATGGTGGCTCACAGCTATAATCCCAGCACTTTTCAAAGCTGAGGAGGGAGGATCACTTGAGATAAGGAGTTCAAGACCAGCCTGGCCAATATGGTGAAACCCCATCTCTACTAAATATACAAAAATTAGCCGGGCATGGTGGCACACACCTGTAGTCCCAGCTACTCGGGAGGCTGAGGCAGGACAATCGCTTGGACCCGGGAGGTGGAGGTTGCAGTGAGCCGAGATTGCACCACCACATTCCAGCCTGGTCAACAGAGCAAGTCTCCCTCTCAAAAACAAAACAAAACAAAACAAAAACCAACAATAAAAAAATGAGGTATCCAGCCCGGTGTGGTGGCTCACACCTGTAATCCCAGCACTTTGGGAGGTCAAGGCGGGAGGACCATTTAAACTCAGGTATTCAAGACCAGCCTGGGCAACATGGCAAAACCCCACCTCCACAAAAAATTTAAAAATATAAAAGTTAGCTGGGCGTAGTGGCATGTGCCTGTGGTCCCAGCTACTTGGAAGGCTGAGGTGGAAGAATCACCTGAGCCCGAGAGGCGGTGGTTGCAGTGAGCCAAGACAGTGCCACTGCACTCCAGCCTGGGCAACAGAGAGAGGCCCTGTCTCAATTTAAAAATAGTAATAATAAATGAAATGAGGTATCCACGAATGTTTAAGATGACACTCTGATATGATCCCGTTTATATAAACTGGTCAATCTCGGGCACACACGAAGAAGCCTACGAACGGCTGATCATCAAAGCGATTCTGGCAGTTGTCTCGGGATGCTGGGATTTCAGATGAGCTTCGCTTCGTATTTTCCCACATTGTTTGAATGTTTTTCTAATTAGTGTATTACTTACATAGTCAGAAAAAACAATGAATCCTTTCCATTGTGAAACGCAGTGTCCACCTCTGTCAGCCCAGAGGCGCCCTCCTTGCTCTGAGCCAGCCCCAGATGAGGGCCTGGAGTCCTCTCCACAGGGGCGGCGTGTGCAGGGCGGCAGCATTCAGCTCCCTCCCCTGGGATCAGCGTCCTGGGGAAGGCTGAGGAGCCCCTGACACTGCGGCTCTTCCCCGGCCAGCCCCGGTTCCCAGGCCCCCCTCCTGATGGCAGGCAGGCCTGGATGGGCTCTCTGCTGCTGCCGGGCCTCAGCTCTCTATCCCCTCCCCTGTCTGTTTCAGATCCCTGCTGCCCAGGTGTCACTTGTTCTGTTTGGGGGAAAAGTGTCTGGGGCAGCTGCTGACCCTGTGGCTGGGTTCTTCATCAACAGGAGCCAGAGGACGGGGTCTGGACGGCTCATGCCTTGGTGAGCAACCACTCAGTCCTTAGGATCCAGGCACCTGGTCCTGGCCCTCTGGTCGCTGTTTGTCACAGTCCCGTTTTCTAGCAGAAACCCGCTGGGTGGTTAGGAAACAAGCCTGGATAATGTCGCAGTTGCACTGCGGACCGACTATGAGTGATAAGGAGTTCAGAGACACTCATGGGGACTCTCCCTCCCCAGATGGAATGGGGCTGGACGAAGCCTCCAAGACTCCCAGGCCTGGCCTGGGGCTCTGAGTGTGGGAAGGGTGGGATGGAGCCCACGCGAGGCCTCACAGAGGAAGTACAACTCAGTGTCCCAGGGTCCACACAGGGAGTGGCACCAGCGGCACCGAGTGTGCAGCCGGAGCTCCCACGAGGAGTGGCCGCCCACTGCCTGCATGGCCCATCGCCACTTCTCCCCTGCTCTTGGCTCCCACCCAGGGAGCCTCAGCCTAGAGAATCTCAAGGGGCCAAGAAGGGGTGAGGTTCCTCCGGGCTGGGCCCTTCGTGTCCCCATGTCCTGGTCCAGGGACCGCTTCACCTTGGCTGTGCTTCCGCAGGGTGCTGGGCTGCACCCCCTTCATCGCCCTGGCCTACTTCTTCCTGTGGTTCCTGCCCCCCTTCACCAGTCTGCGAGGCCTCTGGTACACGACCTTCAACTGCCTGTTCCAGGGCCTGGCCACGGTAAGCAGGGCCCCTTCCTGGGCCTGTGCTCTGGCGAAGCCCATTGCTTGCCGTGGCCACTCTGAAGTGTGCTGTGGGGGCAGGGTCACTGCCCTCCCCACCCGCCTGTGCCTGGACCATGCCATTGGCTCTCACTGGCCTTGCGCGGGGCTGGCTGCCCCCTCCTGTCTTTGGGCCCCTAGCTCCAACTTCAGGTGGCCAGCTGGGATATGTCAGGTTGGCCTGTGGGTGCCGGGATATGACACCCGGGATTGGGGAGGTTGCCAGCTGTCACCAGGCAAAGCTGGGGGCGGTTCTAAGCTCTGCCGGCACCCCAGTTCTTCCAGGTACCCTACACGGCACTCACCATGCTGCTGACCCCCTGCCCAAGGGAGCGCGACTCGGCCACTGCCTACCGTAAGTGCAGCCATGGGTTCCGGGTTCCGGGGAGGGAACTGCCCCTGGGACCCTACTCCCTCTCAGTCACCTTAAGCAGCGCTCTGTCTCCAGGCATGACTGTGGAGATGGCGGGAACACTGATGGGGGCCACTGTCCACGGGCTCATCGTGTCTGGCGCCCACAAACACCACAGGTGCGAGGCCACTGTGACCCCGGGGCCAGTCACCGTCTCCCCCAATGCAGTAAGTGCACTGGATGGCCAGGCCCCCCAACCTGGGGTCCCCTCTGCAGGGTCACCTCCTTCCTCTAGGACTGGTTCTCCAGCCCACACCACTTTGCTGTCTTTTAGGGGGCTCACTGCCCCCACTCCTTCCTTCCCTGCTCCTCCAGTTGAGCAGATGGCCCCCAAATCTAATGTCCTCTGCTAAACCTGCCTCCTCCTGGGTTCCTTCTAGACGTAAAATAGAACAGACACTGGCCCTGCCACCTGGGCCACCTGCAGTGGAGGAGGCCGGCCCCAGAGGTGGGGCAAGGGTGGGGAAAGCTGCAGGGCAGGCTAGGGGAGGGGCAGCAGAGGGGTCTGGTGTCCTCCTGGAGCTGAAGCCCTTCCTATGACCCGTGCTCCCTGCCCCAGCCCTGACCGGGGGGAGCCCCCAACCCCCAGTGTGAAATGGTGGAGAGGTGGAAGCCCCCTTCCTTCCCTTTCACAGCGGGTCCCTTGAGCATTGAGCAGATACACCTCTATTTTATCCACCACATTTACCTTCTCTTTTTCTACTTCCCCCTCTTTCCTCAAGTAAATGACATTATCATCCTCCAGCACTATCCTCTTCTCCCCTCTCTCAACCCTCCAACCTATGACTGAATCCTGCCCATTTTTTAGGCCAAAAGTCTTCTGGGATGCATCCAGCCATCTTGTACCCCACTGCCATGCCCTGGCCCGTGCCACCAGCTCCCTCCCTACCCCACAACTGCTGCCTCCACCTCCTACACAGCATCCCTGCCTCCCGCCACCTCCCCTGTGCGGTCAGGTGCCCTTTGAAAGGAGTTTGAGCATGGGTGGCCCTCACTTTCAGGACTGGGCATGGGCCACCCTCCATAGCCTTCATGTAGGCCTCCCCTCTGTGTGCCCTGTACCCTGCTGTCTTGGCCTTTTGTGCTTTTTTTTTTTTTTTTGAGACAGGATCTTATCTGTTGCCCAGGCTGGAGTGCAGGGGCACAATCTCGGCTCACTGCAACCTCCGCCTCCCGGGTTCAGGCCATTCTCCTGCCTTAGCCTCCTGAGTAGCTGGGACTGAAGGCGCCCGCCACCACACCTGGCTAATTTTTGTATTTTTAGTAGAGATGGGGTTTTGCCACTTTGGCCAGGCTGGGTTTCGAACTCCTGACCTCAGGTGATTCGCCCACCTTGGCCTCCCAAAGTGCTGGGATTACAGGCGTGAGCCACCACACCTGGCCTGTGCTTGTTTTTAATATTTCGGATTTACACAAAGGCAGAGAGGCACAGATCTTAGTGTGGTCCCTGGACCAGCAGCATCAACTCCTGGGACCTTGTTAGAAAGGTAGATCCTCATGATTATAGGCATGAGCCACTGCTGGGATTACAGTGGTGGCTCACGCCTGTAATCCCAGCACTTTGGGAGGCTGAGGCCGGCGGATCACGAGGTCAGGAGTTTGAGAACAGTCTGGCCAACATAGTGAAATCCTGTCTCTACTAAAAATACACAAAAAATTAGCTGGGCATGGTGGTGTGCGCCTGTAATCCCAGCTACTCAGGAGGCTGAGGCAGGAGAATCGCATGAACCCAGGAGGTAGAGGTTGCAGTGAGCTGAGATCGTGCCACTGCGATCTGCCTGGGCGACAGAGACTCTTGTCTCAAAAAAAAAAAAAAAAAAAGAATCTCAAGACAGTAACAGCAGAGCATTGAACCCCAGGGGCAGTGCTCTTCAGCACATGAGGCCCAGGGTGGCCGCACAGGACAAGCGCCCTGCCCTGCCCCCTCTCTCTGCTCCTCTCCCCAGAGGCAGCCTCTCCCGAACTGGCTCTGGCTGTCACTCTCGTGCATGTCTTTATAGGCATTTTAATGCACATGTATTCTTCCCTGAATGACAGGTAGCACTGTCCTGCTTCCTATATATACAGAGGCAGGGTCTTACTCTGCTACCCAGGCTGGAGTGCAATGGTGCAATCACAGCTCACTGCAACCCCAACCTCCCAGACTCAAGCGATTCTCCCGCCTCAGCCTCCCTAGTAGCTGGGACTGCAGGTGCCCACCACCACACCTGGGTAATTGTTGTATTTTCTTTGGTAGATACAGGGTTTCACCATGTTGCTCAGGCTGGTCTTGAACTCCTGGGCTCAAGGGATCCACCTGCCTCAGCCTCCCAAAGAGCTGGAATGACAGGAATGAGCCACCGTTCCCGGCCCTGCTTCCTATATTAATCTTTTTTTGTTTGTTTGTTTTTTGAGACAAGAGTCTCGCTCTGTCGCTCAGGCTGGAGTGCAGTGGTGTGATCTCGGCTCACTGCAACCTCCGCCTCCCCAGTTCAAGTGATTCTCTTGATTCAGCATCCTGAGTAGCTAGGACGACAGGCACCCACCACCACGCCCAGCTAAATGTTTGTATTTTTAGTAGAGATGGGGTCTCACTATGTTGGCCAGGCTGGTCTGGAACTCCTGACCTCAAATAATCCACCCACCTTGGCCTCCCAAAGCGCTGGGATGACAAGCATGAGCCACCGCGCCCGGCCCTGCTTCCTCCGTTAATCTGAGTTACCATGTATCTCACCATGCTGTAACCGCCTGCTCCTGGATCTGTCTTCCTCCCCACACTGAGCCCTATGGATGGACAGGGCTCACTTATTCATCACTGGAGCCTCGGGGCCTAGCATGCAGAAGGCAGCAGCAGTCAATGTTTGCTTCATAGAATGTGGGAGGGAGCACTCTGGCTCCTGGGGCATCAGCGTCCTCTTTGCCATGCAGGGAACACGGGGTCAGCAGAGGGGGTACGTGGAAGGAGCAGCCCGGGCCCGGAGAGTGTGCTGTCCTGTGGGGTGATTGGGAGGTGGGAACCCAATGTCCTGGGCTTGGGCTGTGCCTCCCTCCTCTCCATTTGGGAGGCAGTCCTTCCCCGCCCCTCAGGTGTCACCACCTCCAGGGGTTGAAGACATCACCCACCCTAGTCCTGTCCTGTCCCACAGGCCCGTCTCTACTACATTGCGGCCGCCGTGGTTGCGCTGACTTACCCCGTGTGCAGCAGTTTACTGTGCCTAGGGGTGAAGGAGCGGCCAGGTATGGGGTGTGGTGAGGAGGGAAGCAGAAGCTGGGGACAGGGCTCTGCTTGGGGGTGGGTTTTGGTTTTGAACTCTGCGAAGCCAAGGTGCCACCCTCCTGCATTGCAGACCCCTCCACCCCAGCCTCAGGCCCAGGCTTGAGTTTCCTGGCTGGGCTGGGCCTCACTACCCGGCACCCACCCTACCTGAAGCTGGTGATCTCCTTCCTGTTCATCTCTGCTGCTGTTCAGGTACCTCTGGCCAGCTGCCCCCAAAAGGCTTGACGCTGGCCATGCAGACCTTGCATAGGTTCAGGGTGCAGTCTCGGCTTGAGTTTTACAGGGAGAAACCTATGGCTGGCACATGGCTCAGAGGGGCTGGTGCTGGGAGGGAGATCCCGGTAGGGCATGTGGGACTGGAGGGCCAGGGCCTAGGCACTAGGAGGCTGACAGTGTCTGGGTGATTTCCTCTCACATTACCGGAAGCGCAGTCAAGTCCACCTGATCACAGCTGTGCAGGTGCTGAGGGTGGCCTAGGAGCGGTGTTTGTATCTGTGTTGGCAACAAGTGTCCTTTGTGGGGGAAGGGATTGTATGATGGTAGCAGCAAGCCAAGGTCCCAATGGAGAGGCCAGACTCGAGACCCTGTCCTTGCCCTTGACTTCTGAGCTCCTGCCATGCCCTGCACATACCCACTTCCTGTCCATCTCCTCAGGTGGAGCAGAGCTACCTGGTCCTGTTCTGTACACATGCCTCCCAGCTACACGACCACGTCCAGGGCCTGGTGCTAACCGTCCTGGTGAGGGGACCTGGGGTGGTGGAGGCTAGGTCACTTGGGGCCCTGAGTTGGGGACATGTGTGGCCAGAGTTCTGGTGGTCCACATTTTGGCTTTGCTTTGGTCTTAGTCACCCGCATTCCAGCAGAGGGTAGAATTGGGGCCAGGATTACAATGTTCATAGCCACTGGTTTGAATCAGGTGCAAGGCTAAGGCCAGGCATCCCATCTAAAAGCCAAGGCCTTGAGGTCCCGGGTGAAGGCGCTGGCAGCACGGCCCTGGCGTGACGACACTGTCTGCTCACAGGTCTCAGCCGTGCTGAGCACCCCGCTGTGGGAGTGGGTTCTCCAGCGCTTTGGGAAGAAGACGTCAGCCTTCGGGATCTCTGTGAGTGAGGCAGGTTGGGAGTGGCTGGAGGGGAGAGGCAAGGGAGGTGACCGTGGTGCCTGAGCCGGGGTGGATCTGTGTTCCCTTGAGTCTTCAGGGCCTAGCACAGGGCGAGGCACGGGGGTCATCAGTCAAGAGCCGTGTGTGAAGGAGCAGGCCCCGCGAAGTAGCAGGTGGCGGGACAGCTGGTGTGTGTGTCTCCCCAGGCGATGGTGCCCTTTGCGATCTTGCTGGCTGCTGTGCCCACAGCACCTGTGGCTTATGTCGTGGCCTTTGTATCTGGCGTGAGCATTGCTGTGTCCTTGCTGCTACCCTGGTAGGCTGGGTGTGGGGGCCTCATGTGTGTCCACAGTGGGTGTCGCCTCCTTCATGTCAACCTGCTGTCCCAGGTCCCCTGCACTCAGCCTGTGCAGGAGATGGAGGCCACCAGCTCCATCCTCAGAGCCCTCCTGAGAGGACACCAGGCAGCAGGAATGGTGGGGGGCCCGGCAGGGGCCGGCGGGGGTACGAGCACACAGGCCATCTGCTTCTCTGGTGGCCAGTCTGGTCCTGGGCACAGAACTCAGGGATGAATCCACCTTGGCCTCGGTCCCCAGAGAGTTCACAGGCTGCTGGTGGCCAAGGGGCTGGGAGGGCTAACTCGATGCCCCTGCCACAGGTCCATGCTGCCAGACGTGGTGGATGACTTTCAGCTGCAGCACCATCACGGGCCAGGCCTGGAGACCATCTTCTACTCCTCCTACGTCTTCTTCACCAAGCTGTCTGGTGCATGTGCCCTGGGCATCTCCACCCTCAGTCTGGAGTGAGTCCCAGGGTCAGGATACAGCAGAGGCACCAAGGACCAGTGGGCGGGAAGAGGGCAAAGCCCCCCACCTACCAAGCTCGGGGCACCCATGAGCCTGAGGGCTAAGCGCCGCTCTCTGGAGAGCGTGGGGAACCATTTCCCCATGTTTCTCTGTGCATGAGACTGAGAGGGCCAGCTCCCCCATTCTCAGTTTTCTCTAAACTCTCCCAGGTCAGCCTGTCTGTCCCCTTGACACTCCTCTCCTGATCTTGCCAGGAAATGAAGTCCACGTTTCAGGAGGGGATGGGGTGAGGTGTCTGGGGCCCCTCCACTCAGGGTGCCAGGCTTAGCAGGCCCTGCCCTAATGGCTGGGTGATGTTTCTCCAGGTTCTCGGGGTACAAGGCAGGGGCCTGCAAACAGGCAGAGGAGGTAGTGGTCACCCTCAAGGTCCTCATCGGTGCCGTGCCCACTTGCATGATCCTTGCTGGGCTCTGCATCCTCATGGTCGGCTCCACTCCAAAGACGCCCAGTCAGGACGCCTCCAGCCGGCTGAGCCTTCGGAGGTAAGCCCCGCACGTCCCCTGCACCCAGGGAGGCACAGTGTGCGCTGCTGGGGGAATGACTAACACCAGTCTGCAGACGTCCCTGCTGTCACGCAGTCCTGCCTCTGGGACACTCTTTCCTTAGCTCAGGGTCACCCTTTTCTCCTGGATTTTCTTCTCTTACCCTGGCCACCCCTTCTCAGTCTTCTTCCTTTGATCACCTGGTAGACTGTGGTATGTGAGGATTCCCTCCTTGACCTCCTATTGGTTTTGCTCTCCAAAGCCCCCTCAGTACCTCATCTGCTAGCCTGACCCAACTCAGGCACCCCTTGTGCCTGGTGACTGCTAGAGCTGCCCCTCCAGCCTGAGCTTCCCTCAACTTCCAGAGCCGCATATCGCTGGCATGCGTACATTTCCACCTAGTAGCCCACAAGCCTGGCACTCAGTCTCGATGAACCTCAACGGAACTGATCTTGTCCCCCCAGCTGGCTCCTCCTTCTGTGTCCCTGTCTTGGTGAATGGCATCATGGTTCCCCCTGGGGTGGAAGCCTGGGAATCTTTGGCTCTTGCCTCCCACGGGCAATGCTGAGCAGGTCTCTGACCTGGTCCTTCCCCTACCAGAACACCGACCCCACTGATGGGGAGGATCTACTCACTGTCTGATCTTCTGGGGAGGCTATGGGAACCCTGAAGGCTGGGGCTGGCTGTTTTATTCCTTTTTGTATCCCAAGAGCCCAGCACAGAGCCTGAAGCTAAGCAGGTACTAAGGAATCACTGCTGCAGCATCACCACGTCTAGCCCAGCAGACGTGCATGAGCACCCAATGTTCACCCACATAAGGTCCTCAAGCATGCACACATCATGCAGGCCCACGCAGGACAGGCAGTGGGTGGTCCCATCATTAGCCACTCCCTGCCCAGGGTGACGGCCTCGGGCTCTGCAACAGAGAGATACCAAGGGCACGCTTCCCAGTCAGGGAAGGCCAGGCAGATGGGGAACTGCTTGATGGCACCTGGAGAACCAGGGTTGTAGCTTATTTACAGGACTTGGGAGGGGAGGAGTTGAAGAGGAGTTGTTGGGAAGACAAGCAGCAGCCACCAAACCTTCCACGGGTTTCTGCGGTAGGACAGAGGGGAGGGCCCACACCACTTCCATCCTTCTCCTTGGCTTCCTTCCTTTCCCACAGGAGGACCAGCTACAGCCTGGCGTAAAGCTTGAGAGGGTGACTGTGAATGGACACAGGAGCCAGCACCCTTGGGGTCTGACATCGCCCTCCTCCACCCTTCAGCACCCGGCCTGGCAGTTTAGCACTCGGTCTTTTTCCCTGGGATGCGGAGTCTTTGGCAACATGTCCTGAAGGGACTGGCCTGTGCTTCAGGACCCCACTTGGCATTTCTTGTCTGTTGCCTTCAGACTATCTCAGATAGACCTGTATCCCTGACTAGGCCAGTAGCACCTGCCTCTAGAAAAAGGAAGCTCCTGCCCAGCCTGGCTTGTGGACCCTGTGGGAGCCCCAGGCCCAACAACCTGCGTGGATAGCAAAGCTCCCTGACAGAAGGACAGACACAAGGACTCCTGTTTGTCCCAGGGCTCCAGTGGACATCTGCTGAGGACACAGAGAGGTGAGAGTCACCACGTGAATGGGCAGAGTGTGGACAGGCAGACATGCCCAAGATGTATGATTAGGGAGACACAGACAGACCCAGGGAGGCCAACGGGCCCCAGGGAGAACGGGACAGCAGTGGGGATGGGGACTGAGCAGGGCGGGCGCTGAGGTGCTCCTCAAGCCTCTCCCAGTTCCCAACCATTGACGCGACTGTTTCTGTCAGGGTCAGAAATGGCTATTGAGCCAGCAAAGATACAGCATTTTCACAAATAAAAGCTATTTGTGGGGAAAGATTTTTCTGAAATTTTATCTTACAAAAGCACGGGAACTACAGTTTTTTTAGAGGCCATGTTTTCAGGGAAAGAAAGATCCACGGAGGTTTTTATTTTTTCAAAAACAAATTCAAGGGTTGATCTGCTATTGAGTCTGTGTAGTGTGACTGTGGACAGCCCTCTCATCCCAACTGGAATCCCCAGAGGAGGGAAAGGGGAGAAAGCCTGGTGCCCTTGAACCTGGCTGCTCCCCCAGCCACACACCCCTGACTTGCATGTCCTTAGACCAGGGACACCATGTGGGAGCGGGGCGGGTTCCTCCTTCCCTTTGGAGGAGTCACAAAGTTAAGGCTCTAGAGTGGCTCAAAGCAGCAGGCCACTGAGGTGGCTCATGGGGGCTGGGGCTGGGGGAGGGCTGGGGAAGCCGTGGGGGGTGTTATGCTCCAGCAAGTCCTGCCTGGAAAAGTCTGGCACCTAAACAGGGGGCCTGAGTGCAGACTCGCCCCTACATTTCACCCCAGCCCCCACCCCTGCCTCCTTCATGGGTTCAGCTCTCCTGAGCCCACAGCTAGGCCCCGTCCACTCAAGATCTTCAGCCGTCTCTGAGGAGCAATCCCCCTGAGGCCCAGAACTCAGGTTTGCCCTTAGATATGACGCAGTCCTCAGAGCTGAAAGCATCTCACTGCTTCCACAAACACGGTGGCAGAAGGAACCCAACCTCGCCGGGGGTGTGTGGGGTCTGACCTGGTCTTTCTGATGCCTCAACTCTCTGGCCCTTATGACACTGACATGAGTATCTGGTTCCTGAGGTCACAGGGCACCAGAGAAAGAGCTGGGCTCAGCTTCTCTGCACTGCCCTTTCTGACAGGAAGCTCTGCCTCCCCATACTGTGCATGGACACAAACACACACACACAAGCAAGCACACATGCATGCTACTGAAAACAGGAGAGAACGTTTCTTAATGCTGGGATATCACGCGTCACGTGGAAACAGTACCCGGCAAGACAGAAGGCAATGTAGTTTCTACCATGTTATCATTTTATGTTATGCTTTGGCAACCTGGGCAATGCAGGCAGGATCAGAAGCTTGTGCCAGATTCTCTGCTATCGATTATTTCCTGGCAGTGCAGTGGCAGGAAGCAGAGCTATACGGTGCAAAGGCAGCTGCAGGGGCCCTCTGCAGAGTCAGAACCTCTGGGAGTCAGGAGTTAAAGCCCAGAGACAGGAGCTATCATGGGCTCGGAGCTGGGCAGACGCCCTGAAAGGCATCATTCCATTTCTTCTTCACAGCAGCCCTGCTGAGCATTATTCTCATTCTCAGATGAGGAAACAGGCTTAGAGAGATTAAGCCACTTGCCCAAGTTCAGTTGGTGGTAGAAATGAGTCTTTTTGTGTTTGTTTGTTTGAAGCAGAGTCTTGCTCTGCTGCCCAGGCTAGAGTGCAGTGTCACAATCATAGCTCACTGGAGCCTTGAACTCCTGGGTTCAAGTGATTCTCCCACCTCAGCCTCCTGAGTAGCTGGGACTACGGTGCACACCACCACGCCCAACTAATTTTTCTTTTTTTTGTAGCAATGAGAGTCTCACTATGTTGCCTAGGCTGGTCTTGAACTTCTGGGCTTAAGCAATCCTCCCCCTTCAGCCTCCCAAAATGCTGGGATTACAGGCGTGAGCCACCGCGCCCAGCCCATTTACCGCTATAGCTCCTCAGAGCCCAGAAGTAAGTGTTCAATATGAATGTTTGCTGAATGAATGAGCAAATGTTCCTATCACCTTCATCCTAAAACAAATACCACCACCTTTTATTTGTTCCCTTAGCTTCCTGCTCTCCAAATAATCTGCTTTACTGTTCTCCTCTCACCCCTCCCATTCCTGTCTCCTTTTCCTCACCTGCTATTCACTCCTTAACCAGTTAAACCTGGGCTTGGCTTCCAACACTGAGACAGTGCAGCCTGACAGGATGAACCCCAGCATCAAAGAAAAGGAGATGGTAATCTGTATGTTACTTCCCTCTGTTACCGTGGTTGACTTACTCAACAAAACTGAGCCTCCACTTCTTTTTTTTTTTTTTTTTGAGATGGAGTCTCACTCTGTTGCCCAGGCTGGAGTATAGTGGCACGGTTTCGGCTCACCACAACCTCCGCCTCCCAGGTTCAAGCGATTCTCCTGCCTCAGCCTCCAGAGTAGCTGGGATTACAGGCACCCGCCACCATGCCTGGCTAATTTTTTGTACTTTTAGTAGAGACAGGGTTTCACCATGTTGGCCAGGCTGGTCTTGAACTCCTGACCTCAGGTGATCTGCCTGTCTCGGCCTCCCAAAGTGCTGGGATTACAGGCATGAGCCGCCGTGCCCAGTTTTTTTTTTTTGAACAAATGTATACACTATTACATAAACCTCAGGATGGCTATGAGAGAAGACGTGACCAAGTACCAGACCAAGGAAACCCTTAGTGACCAGTCAATTAATGCTGACAACTCCTTTTCAAAATTCTGTCTTGGGCTGGGTGCAGTGTAAGTGTGTGAGCCTTTGGGAGGTCAAGGCAGATGGATCATACGAGATCAGGAGTTTGAGACCAGCCTGGCCAATATGGTGAAACCCCATCTCTACCAAAAATATAAAAATTAGCTGGGCATGGTGGCAGGCGTTTGTCATCCCAGCTACTCAGGAGGCTGAGGCAGAAGAATCGCTTGACCCAGGAAGGCAGAGGTTGTAGTGAGCTAACACCACTGCACTCCAGCCTGGGCAATGGAGCCAGACCCTGTCTCAAAATAACAAAAAAAAAACCTGTCTTCCCCTGGACTGCATGACATCGCCCTCCTGGTTCTTCTGCAGCATCTCTGACCATTTATTTTCTGTCTTTTCCTTCACGTCTTTCTCCTTTGATGCTCCTTAGCCATCATGGGCTTCTCAGGGCCACGTGATCCCACTCACTATCACCACCTATCCACTACTATAGACTCTTATTAACCCAGAGCTCTCTGCGGAGCTCCAGAGTCCCAGATCCAACTGCCTATCTCAGTGTTCAGGCAGTTAAAACATCATACATCCAAAATACATCACCTCTGCACACTTGTTCTGCCTCCTGCATTTTCAATTACATCAGTGTTACTGAGCAAAACAGCTTGCTGCCTGATGCACACAGAAGCCAATACTATGGCATCAGATTTTTGAGAGAAGAAAAGCCTTATTACAAATCAACCAACAAGCCAGGCATGGTGGCTCACGCCTATAATCCCAGAACTTTGAAAGGCCGAAGCGGGCGGATCACTTGAGCCCAGGAGTTCGAGACCAGCCTGGCCAACATGGTGAAACCCTGTCTCTACTAAGATACAAAAATTAGCTGGGCATGGTGGCACACGCCTGTAATACCAGCTACCCAGGAGGCTGAGGCAAGTGAATTACTTGAACCTGGGAGGTGGAGGTTGCAGTGAGCTGAGATCATGCCACTGCACTCTGGCTTGGGCAACAGAGCAAGACTCCAGCTCAAATAAAAAACCAACCAACAAACAAAATCAACCAACAAGGAGACAGGAGTCCAGCTTGAATCTGTCCTTCCTGTGTTGGTCTTAAGGTAGCACTGATACCATATAAGGTTTAGACGGTGGGTTCTGGGATTAGCAGGTGATTGGTGGAAGGAAAGGGAGGTCTGGAACGTCTCCAGGGATGCACACTTGTCTCCTCTTGGGTCACATGTGCAAATTCGGGCGGAAGTTAGTATGAAATGTGGTGGAAATTCAGGCTGTGACATCAGTAAGCATGTTCTATGCAAACTCTAGTCAGCCAACTGATTTCAGCCAATTTTGTTATATTACAAGTGGAGAGAGTTCCAGCAAGCTGTTTCTTTTCTTTTTTGAGACAGTTTCACTCTGTCACCCAGGCTGGAGTGCAGTGGCGTGATCTGTTCACTGCAACCTCTGCCTGCTGGGTTCAAACAATTCTCCTACCTCAGCCTCCCAAGTAGTTGGGAATACAGGCATAAGCCACCACACCTGGCTAATTTTTGTACTTTCAGTAGAGACAGGTTTCACCATGTTGGCCAGGCAACTTGGTCTCCCAAAGTGCTGGAATTACAGGTGTGAGCCACCGTGCCCTGCTCTATTTCTTTTCTTATCTGCCATCCTATAAGCTCAAGAATTCCTGCTGGTCACAGTTTCTTTAATCCTGTAGGGCACAGTTTATCAGCATCTTTCTAATCTACCTAAAACCAAAGACTTGGTGTCTTCTTAGGTTCCTTTCTCCTTGATTAGCTCCAATTAACTCCACTGTCTCATCCCCGTATCTACTGAGTGTGGATTGAGCAAAGGAAGTCAAGGGCAGTCTATGGCCATACCACCCTGAATGCACCCGATCTCATCTGATCTCGGAAGTTAAGCAGGGTTGGCACCGGTTAGTACTTGGACAGGAGGAGGACAAGGGTTATGGTTTGTGGATTATCAAATGGTGAAAGTTATTTGACACTGGACAGAAAGTTGTAACACCAGATATGGATGGATGTGGCTCATTAACACATGGTGACCTGACATAGCTGCCTGCTATGTTTGAGGTGTAGGCATTTCTGTAGCCTATGGAACTCAGTTCAGCTGGGTACAGTTTTCTGTTACCTAGTGTTTGTGTGTGTGTTCTGTAGAGACAGGATCTCTCACTTTGTTGCCCAGGCTGGTCTTAAACTCCAGGCCTCAGGTGATCCTACTGCCTCAGCCTCCTGAGTAGCTGGGATTACACACACAAGCCCCCGTTCCCAGCTCTAGTGTTTCTTAAGGACAAAACTGGTGTATAAGTAATAGGAAATTCACATTATGCTGTACTTGTTCTCTAATATCACAGCCATGTTAGAACAAATTTGGGTTTTCAAAGCAAACATA